CATCTATTGTAGTTTTAATTCCCAATTACTGACACTTCCATCTCTCTCCAGTGCTTTATTTTTTCTCCTAATATTTAGCACTAATAGAGTATATATTTGACTTTTCAATCTTGTTTACTCTGTCTCTGAGGACAGGACATGTTACTCTTTTGTGCCCAGCTGAATGTTTGGCATAGAAAGAGACTAACACCACCAGTCTTTTTGACTATTTGCTTCCTGTTTTCTCTTTACCTAAAATTTGGCTCCTTTCTGAGAATGTTCTCCCATTATAGCTTCCTTAGGTTGGGTTTGTTTTCTGTTCCATTCCCCTTGTACCAAGGGGCCTGAAGGGGAAGTGGTGGGTGACCTCCTGCACCTCATTGCCACACCCAAACCATTCTCTCTCCTTCCTCCATAAATCCCCACTGCTTAGAAATTCATATCCTCAGACTAGACCATCTGGTTACAATGTCCTGTGGCCCCAGGGCATTTCCCCTCATTCCTTGAGAACTTGAGGCCTTGTCTCACTGTCACTATCCCTACCACTGCCTCATCATAATTCTTGCTGATTTTTATTATCCTAAGTCATTTTCCAAGACCCAGGACTCTCAGGTCCTGAGGTCTTCTTCAATGATGTTGCCCTCCACACTAACTCAGCCCAGACACAGACTTTGTTATTACTAATAGCTCTAACCCATCCATTTCAGGCATTACATGCTATAACCATCCACCAATCTTTCCAACTCACCCCTCTGGCCCCTCAAGTCCAACAACCATTCCATCTCACTACACCCTCCATCCATTGATCTCCACCTTTTCACTGTCCCAAGCACCTGCTATCAGGCCCATCCTTGCTTCTGCCCACAGCAGATTCCACAGCTTACCAGTAAACTTTTAAGCTTAACTTAAAAGTTAACTCCTCAGCTACCTTTTCTCATTTTACGACTTCTACATGGCAAAATTCCAGCCTTCTGGGGAATGTAACAGTCATTTGCTCTACTCCTACGCAACTAGGTGCTGCAATAAAAAAACACAGAACCATGCTGGAGACCTCACTTTATTTTTTTATTTTTACTTTTATTTTTTTGAGGGGAAGAGGCAAAGGGAGAAGAAGAGAGAATCTTAAGCAGGCTCCATGCACAGCACAGGGCCCAACCTGGGGCTCGATCTTATGGCTGCGAGATCATGACCTGAGCCCAAATCAAGAGTCGGATGTTTAACCGATTGAGTCACCCAGGTGCCCCTGAAGGCCTCATTTTGAATTATTAATGATAGCTACATGCATTTTGTTCCCTATGGGAAGGTACCATTATAAATGCTCTCCACAGAAGAAGTCATTTGATCCTCATGAGGATTATTATCATCATCTGCATTTTCAGGATGAGAAAACTGAGGCACGGAGAGGTCCAGGAACTGGCCCAGGATCACACAGCTAAGTGGGAGAATTCTAATGGAACCCTGGGCAGTTTAGCTCCAGACTCCACATCAGAACCTCTATGCCAGCGCTCAGGGCTGCTAACGCCCAGCAGGTACAGCACATTTCCCCATAGGCCTGGCCTTCTCAGGCCAGACAGGGCATCAGATCAACCTCAGACAAACCAGAAGGACTTGTTAAATACAGATGGCTGGCCCCATTCCCTGGGGTTCTGAATCCCTGATAAGAAGGGGTGGGCCAGGTCATTTGCATTTCTAACAGTGCCCAGGTCAGGCTGCTGTGCTGGTGTGAAGGCCACGGTGAGGACCCTGGCCACCGTTTCACACCTTTGCTCAACCTCCAACACCTTGTCCCCATCTTCACTCTTGACTGATACCCTGGCCTCCAACCTCCCTGAGAAGACAGAAGACTTCAGAAGAGGATTTGCACAAGTCCCCCATCATTCTTCCTCACCTTCCTGCTGCCTTCCCTCCTGTTGTCACAGACCAACTGTCTCTCTGTCAGGTTGCCCCCATCAGTATAGAAACATGCTGCAACATTCCCTTAGGCAAAAATGACTTCAAATCTCCCTCTTTGCTACCTCACTGCTTTCAACAAACATTCAACAGAACTTCTCAAAACAGTTTTTCACCAGCATCTCTTCTCATTTTTTAATACTTTATTGTGATAAAATATATATAACAGAGAAATTGCCCTTTTTAAACATTTATGTATGTATGTATGTATGTATGTATGTATGTATGTATATATGTATGTATGTATTTTTGAGAAAGAGAGAGAGAGCGTGTGTACAAATCCCATACAGCAGGTGGAGCCTGACTCAGGGCTCAATCTCATGAACCGTGAGATCATGACCTGAGCTGAAATCAAGAGTCGGCCACTTAAATTAGTTGGACAAAGCCACCCAGAATATGCCCTTTAAAAGATTGTTAGTATATGATCCAGGGGTGTTAATCACATCCACACTGCTGGGCAACCATCATCACTGTTTCCAATTTTTTTCCTATGTATAGGAAATCCCAAAGTCACAAGAAAGCTATTGGAGCTAATGAACAGATTCAGAAAAGGTCCAGCCTCCTGTTGTCTCTTGAATCTTCCTCAACCACGTTGTACCTCTATTTCTCCTCCTAAATGGCTCTTTCCAAAATTTCCTCTGAGTTCCATTTTGCTAAAGCCAACAGTCAACGCTTGGTCCTCATCCTACCTTTCCTGCTGTATCATGACATGGTTGATCATTTCTTCCTTTTTGCAACAGTGTCTTCACTTGGTGCTGTGGACTGAATATTTGTATTCATGTGTTGAAACCTAATCCCCAATGTGATGGTATTTGGAGGTGGGGCCTTTGGAATGTGATTAGATCATGAGCATGGGGCCCTCATGAACTTTAGACTGTTGCCCTTCTGAAAGAGACCTCAGGGAGCTCCTTGTCCCTTCTACCATGTGAGGACACAGCAGAAAGATGTCTGTCTATGAACCAAGAAGTGGGCTCTCACCAGATACCAAGTCTTCTGGCACCTTGATCTTGGAGTTTCCAGCTTCCAGAACTATGAGATATGCATTTCTATTGTTTATGACACAATCAATGTATGATACTTGGCCATAGTTGTCCAAATGGACTAAGACACTTGGCTTCCCACACCACAGTCCCTTGGTTCTCTCCTGCCTCTGTGGGAGACAGGCAATATGGCCACAAGCCAAAGAATGCCACCATTCACAGAGGCTAGAAGAGGCAAAGAGCAGGTCCTCCCAGAGCCTTCAGAGAGAACATGGTTCTGTTGACACTTAGCATTCAGACTTCTGAGTTCCAGAACTGTGAGAGAACCAATTTCTGTTCTTTTGAGTCACCAAGATTGTGGTAATTTGTACAGCAGCCTTAGGAAACTAATAGGACATCTAACAGACAACTCCAAACTGATGTGTCCAGAACAAGGTCTTCGGTTACTTCCTTCCCTGAGCCCTTACCCTCTGAACCTGCTCCTCCCACTGCCACTTCAGGAAAGGACAATTCCCAGCCTCATAGTTGCTCAGGCCAAACTCCTTACTTTCTGTCACACTCCATGTCCAAATCATCAGCAAACCCTGTTGGTTCTACCTTCAAAGATAGCACCAATCAGGTCACTTCTGCCTCCTTCCTTGCAACCACCTGGGGCAAAGCCAAGATCATCTCTTGCTCAGGTTTTTGCAACCATCTTCTGTCTCCCTGATTTTGTCCTTGCTCCTTACAGTCTATTCTCAAAACAGTAGCTGGAGTGATGCTGTAAAAATCTAAGTTGGACTTTGCCACTCCTTTGCTCAGAACTGTCCAAATGTCCTCCAGCTCACTCAACATAAAAGCCAAGTCCTTACAAGGTCTTACAAGGGCCTACATGATCTGGGTCCCTGTAACCACTCTGTCACTCCCCTCCGCTACTCTCCCCCTACCTCATCACTCAGCTCCTTGGACAAACCATTTGCTTGCCACTTCAGGAACTTTTCACTGAGAATGCTGGGAGTCTAGGAGGGAAGCTGATAGAATTTCCAGGGTACATTTTGTGCCGTTAGAGATTTGAAGACATGAATTTAAGGTGAGATCAAATTGGGGTGCCTGGGTGGCTCAGTAGATTAAGCGTCTGCCTTCAGCCTAGGTCATGATCTCATGCTTTGTGAGTTCGAGCCCTGCATCAGGCTCTGCCCTGGTGGTGTGGAGCCTGCCTGGGATTCTCTCTATTTATCCCTCTCTCTCTGCCCCTTCCTCACTTGCACTTCCTCTCTCTCAAAATAAATAAATAAATACACTTTAAAAAATATTAAAAAAAATAAAGTGAGACCAATTAAAAAAATAATAATAATAAAGTGAGGCCAATTGGTACAGTTTGTTCTCTTCAACATTCAATTGGGAATAAGTGAATGGAGAAAGAAGAGGTTTGGGTGTGGCCAGATCAAAGTTTTTCTAGGGAAGAATAATAGGAAGAGAAGATAAGGACATTAAGGTCGTTTGTGTAAGGGAGTGATTATAATGTTGGACCATGAAATCTACACTGGATAGGAAGGAATTACATTAGATAATGCAGAGGAAACACTTACCAGGGGTCCTGGCACATTGTAAGGGCTCAGTAAGCAAGAGCTAGTCTTTTTTTTTTTTTTTAAGTAGGCTTCATAACCAGCATGGAGCCCAACCTAGGGCTTGAACCCTGAGCTCAAGACCCGAGATCAAAAGTCAGACACTTAATTGACTGAGCCACTCAGGCATCCCAGCAAGAGCTAGTATTAGCACAAGCATTCATCCTAGGTATACTAAAACCTGAAAAATACCTGGCAAAATTAACTACAGTACTATACTCTGCCCAAGTACTTGTGATTAAGCCTCAATCCCACAAATAAGAGATGGCTTTGAAGATAGAACAATAAAATCCAAGACAAAGATAATAATTAACAAATATATATGTATTTTAGGTATAAACAAATAAAAAGCATATTTTTGAGTTCACCACTGCCAGAGCGAAAAGTCGTAATTGCTTTCAACACTAAGAATTTATAAGAAGCAGCATGCCAAAAGCACATCCAAACAAACACATCCTTCACTTTAAATACATAAAGCCTTGCTTACCCTGAAATGGTTCAGCCTGATGCTATGGTGGTTTTCTCTTTGATGTATGCCTCATCTTACAAATCGTTACTGACTTGCTTTCAGCGAGACATTAATGCTGACACAGAGAGTGCTTTTCATCTGTTACCCATATCTGCCAAGTGCAAGCTGTGGTTGACTAATTGGAAACACACAACTAAATGGAATAATGTTATCAATGTGCTCTGGGTGCCCAAGGCCACAGCCCATTTTCCTTCAAGTTTCACTATTATTCAAAAATTTGGCTAAGAATACATTTTATTTCTATGTTCACAATAGACAGAGATGTTAATAAGTAGAATGTCAAAGTCACATATATTTTAAAGGTTAAAGCATATCAGCAAAATTCAGGAGCTGGGCCACAGAGCAAAAAAATCAACAGATGGTAGTTGTGGTAGGAGGCTCCATCTGCCAAACCAAGGTCCTGCTAATTTAGGATTAAGATGAACTCTCTTTGTCAACACTGTGATAGAGGGAATGGTCCCAACCTTTTTTTTTTTTTTAAGATTTTATTTTTAAGTAATCTCTGTACCCAATGTGGGGCTCGAACTTACTACCCCGAGATCAAGAGTCTCATGCTCCACTAACTGAGCCAGCCAGGTGCCTCTGATCCCAAGATTTTTGAGCTAAGCACGCAGGTGGATGGGGTTGCCAGTTACTAAAATAAGGGAGCTGGGCCAGAAACAATAGTTATGTGTTCAAGTCTTTGATTTTATACTTCTAAATGTAGGAGCCTCAACTTTATTATCTGCAGAATGGGTGTGATAACTGAATTTTTCTCAATTCTGTCATTCATTTCATTTTTTAATGTTTATTTATTTATTTAGAAAGAGAGAGTGTTTGTGGGCATGAACACAGGGATGGGTGGTGGGGAGGGGCAAAGAAAGAGGGAGAGAGAGAATCGCAAGCAGGCTCCACACTGTCAGCACAGAGCCAGATGCAGGGCTGGATCCCACAAACCATGAGATCATGACCTGAGTGGAGATCAAGAGTGGCTCGCTCAACTGACTGAGCCACCCAGGCATCCCTGTCCCCCAAATAAAAGCTTTAAATAAAGTGGAAACAAGAAGTTGTATACGAGGCATTAAGGAGTGACTGGACCCTGGGGTCGAGATGGGGTGGGGAGGAGGGGCAGCTGCAGCCTGCCAATGTCCCACTGCTCAGGCCAATGTCCCACTCCCAGACCAATGTCCCACTGCCCAGGCCAATGTGCTGCTAGGATTTCATGTAGCCTTCCACAGAATCAAAGCCTGGCAGAGCACAGCTAGAAAAAGGAGAGGGAAAACATCTCTTCCCTGCTCCGTGGGGTTATTTATCTATAATTTGGTGTAACTAGGTTCAAGGATGGCATTTCTCTGGAGCTGGTTCCTACCCCACTCCCTTTCTTTTGTGGATCGCTAGGAAACCTACTTGAGAACACTGCCAGATTTGGCTCGCCCAGTCAGCACTCTGCTGGAGGACCTGGGACCTGCATTTATTTGTTTACATGTCGATCATTTATGTAACACCTTTGTTAAAAATGTTGCAGGTGGCTCTCCATCACTGTGTGAAAGCCAGTGTCAGGTCAGTGGTCCATGATGTCATACGTGATCTGCTGCACCGTTATTTCCCTGACCCTCTGCTCCTGTCACAGTGGCTTCTTGGCCATCATACCGTGAACGCTGCTGTCTCAGGTCTTTGTATTTATTGTTCCCTCCTCCTTAACTGTTCCCCTCCCCCCTCACAACACCCTTAGATATTCGCATATCATCTTCTAAAAGGTCATTACTCAAGTGTCACCTTTGCGATAACACCTTTTCTGAACACCTTGCCAAAATCGCAACCCACCCCCAACCAGCTTCCTATTTCCTCCTCCACTTTACTTTCTCTCCATAGTAGATAGGGACAACCAGCATACTATTTTACCTATTTACCTGATTTATTGCCTATCTCTCTATTAGACCATAAATTCCATAAAGGCAGCAATCTTATTGTGTTTGTTGCTTTACCTGCTGTGCCTACAACAGAGCCTGGAACATACAGGTGCTTAGTAAGTATTTATTTAAATAACTAATCTTTCTGTGTTTAGCATCTCCCTCTTCTTCAAGGTAGGACTACTGGGCCAAAGGGATGAATTTTTTTCTTTATAGTTCTTCACCTCAGTTGTTGTGTGTATCAATGGTGTGTTTCTTTTTATCATTGAGTAGTATTCCATGGTATGGGTATATCATGATTTGTTCAACCATTCACTCATTGAAGGACATCTGAGCTGTTTCCATTTGGGGGCTATTATGAATGAAGTTGCCATAAATAATTGTGTACGGGTTTTTGTGTGAACACAAGTCTTCATTTCTCTGGGACAAATGCCTATGAGCACAATTGCTGGCTTGTATGGTAGTTGTATATTTACTTTTTTTTTTTTTTTTTTTTTTTTAAGAAAGAGAACATGAGCAGGGGACAGGGGCAGAGACAGAGAGGGAGAGAGAATCTTAAGCAGGCTCCACACACTCAGCACAGAGCCTGACATCGGGCTTGATCCCACCACCATGGGATCATGACCTGAGTCAAAATCAAGAGTTGGATGCTTAACCCACTGAGCCACCCAGGCACTCCTAGACAAGATACTTCTAAAGCATCCAACATACTACTTGTCACAGTGTTATGCACAGTTCTAGACTCAAGCTGTCTGGGTTTTTGTGATGGCTCCAGCACCTATCAGCAGTTCCTTGTGACTTCGTTTTGTATCATTTCTTCATCTTTAAGAATGAGTCCAAAGATAGTACAGTCAGCAATATATAGTGTTGTGAGGATTGAGGGAGACAGCCATGAAAAGTACCCAACAAAGTATTTGTCTGGCTCAGAGTAAACTTCAGCAAAATGCTCTAGATTGTTTTCTGCTGTGATCTCATGGTTTTGAGATTGAGCCCTGAGATGGGCTCTGCGTTGGGCGTGGAGCCTGCTTGAGAGTCTCTGTCTCCCTCTGCCCCACCACTGTTAGTGTGTGTTTGCTCTCTTTCTCTGTCTCAGAACAAAACAAAAAAAAGTATTGGATGCTTAACCAACTGAGCCCCCCAGGAGCCCCATATATTTACTTTTCAAAAGACACTGCCAAGCTGTTTTCTAGAGGGACTGCCATTTTATGTCTCTACCAACAATGTAAGAGTGATCCAGTTTTTCCGCATCTTTGCCAGAATTTGGTTATCATCACTATTTTTAATTTTAGCCATTTTGATGCCTAGTGATACTGTAGGTTTAATTTGTACCTTCTCTAATAGCTAATTATCTTGAACATCTTGTTTTTGTATGTTTAGTTGCCATTTCTTTATCTTCGCTGAAATGTCTCTTAATGTCCTCTGCCCATGGTCTAATTGGATTGCTTGCTTTTTAGTATTGAGTTTTAAGAGTTTCTTCAATATAGTCAGAGTACTAGTCCTTTGTCGTAATTGTGCTTTGCAATACTGTCTTCCACTCTATAGGTTGTTTTCCCATCCTCTTAATGGGGTATTTCACAGAGTAAAAGTTTTTAGTGTTTAGTTTTCAATTTTTCCTTATATAGGTCAGTTTGGAGTCAAGTCTAAGGATTCTCTGACCAGCCATATCCTAAAGATTTTCTCCTAAGCTTTTCTCTAAAAGTTTGAAAGCTTAAAGTTTTACACTTAAATCTGTGATCAGGTTTGTGTTAATTTTTGTATAATGTAGAGTCTGCATTTTAACAAGTTCCTCATTGAGAACTGCTGGGGAGAAATTTGTAGGCCTTCAATAGTGATGTGAAGGTAAATGTTGCACAACAGGCTCCAGATGGGGAGGGGAAATTTCTGTGGTACAAATACAGCCTTCATAGCTGACTTCAAGCTACCAGTACTATGCCACTGAACACAGAGTCAGGAAGAGCTGCTCAGAAGCACACTAATATGTAGTATTTCCAAACTTACAACAGATACAGGTAATAATAAAATGTAGTAGGAAGTATTTATTACCTTTGTTTTGTTTTGTTTGTTTGTTTTAATTTATTTAATTTTATATCAAGACTTTGGAAAGTTCTAAGAGTTTATCCTACTTGTAAGCTAACAAATTGTCAGTTTCATGGATGCCAGCAAAATACATGAGACTCCCAGGTCAGAAACAAAGGCCTTTATTACTCACAGCAGCTGCAGTAATCAGTAATCAGCATTATCTTGCACTAGTTCCCTGAGCCCCGATTCCCATGGGGGGATGCAAAGTGGGCCAGCTGCTACTTACGCTTGCTGTGGGTTGAACATGGGAGAGGAAGCCTGAGCTTAGGGACTTGAATCTTTTATGATAACTTATCATCTTTTGTAATGCTCAGAGGTAAACATCATTTTTATTATTCTGAATGATAAGCAAACCTGCCCTTTCTTCTGGAGGTAAATACTAAACAACTCTGAAAAGACCACCTGGAATGAAGAGTCAATGCCTCCACTTGCGATACCAGCTAAAATGAGAGAGAACCATGAAGAATTGGCTCCCAATGGTTTACATAATTTAATTTTAATAATGGCTGGGTTTACCAGCTCACAAAATTCCTGAAAATTTAACAATAGGCCCTCAGAAGCCAGTACTATATTTGGCCCCAGCACACAAATGTGTTTTGAGGAAGAAAAAAGGAAAGGGAAGAAAGGACAGAGTCCCTCTGGGTTGATTTTACCAGCTAGGAGCCCAGAAGGCTGGAAATGAGGCCCCATCACTGGAGGAAGCTGTTTTCATATTTTGTTTCGTTTTGTTTTCCAGAATGGTTATGATTATCATGGAAATTATAATGATGGTAATTAAAGTAAAAATAGCAACTATTCTTTATTGGCTGTTAAGTTTAGGTCATACATTTTGGGGTTTTATCTCATTTAATCTTCATGATGGCCCTATGGAGTAAGAATGATCACTTATTGTCATTTAATAAATGAAAAAAACGAAACTCCCAGGGGTGAAGGAAAAATACTGGGCTGGGACTGACCTTTTCTGGCAAACTTTAGTTCTGAGGAGTTGCAAATTCACAGTCCTAAAAGCAGCTTTTCCACTCAGAACTCACTTCAACTGGCATTATTTGCATTGCCCCTGCC